GCAGGCAGCGCCCCGCCCACCTGGTATCTGGGGTCTCTGGGATGCACAGCCACGGCCACGTCTCCCAGCATCGTCTCAATGCGAGTGGTTGCCACCACCACCTCCTCGTCGCTGTCTGGGGTGACAGGAGGTGCTGGGTCTCAGCTCCCTCCTCTGCTCCTGCCCTCCTCCCCCAGCCCACATCCTGGCGTCCTTAGCTCCCACCTGAGCCTTGGACCTTGTAGGCAAAGGACACGAGGACCCCAAACTCCACCTTCTCCTTGTAGCCAGGCACAGAGAGCAGGGTGCGGCCCGTCAGCTCCTTCTTATCCACCTGTGAGATGGGTATTTAGAGAGGTGGCCCTGGGCCGGGGTTGGGAGCACCAGAGGGAGACAGGCTGTGGGCAGAGGCATACCTCAATGTCAGAAATGGCAGAATTGAGGGTGCAGGACCAGTTGACCAGGCGGGTGCTACGGTAGATGACACCTTCCTCGTGGAGCCTGACAAAAGCCTCTGTCACAGCTGCTGACAGTTTCTGGGGTGGAGGAAAGGGAAGTGGTGCCTGGAGGCCAAGGCCGACACCCGAGGCCGGGGGGTGGGGGTGGGGTGGGGGGGGGTGTCCACTAGGCCTGTCCTAGAGTCCTGTGCCCAGCGCAGACCCCTCAGCAGAGCCCGGGGCCGTCAGTAAGCCTAGCAATGGGATGGAGGGAGCGTCCGGCTGGAGTCTGAGCCTGGAACAGAGCAGCCTGGTGCTCCTGGTCCAAGGGCCAGAGAATGCAGGGTCATGACGAGGGCCAGAAGCTGGTGCTGAGAGCTGAGTCCTCAGTTGTGTCCTAATCTCCTGTGGGGGCAGCCCACCCGAGGAGCACCCCTGCTTACAGGGTCCATGGTGAAGCAGGCTCGATCCCAGTCCAAGGAGCTGCCAAGTTTCTTCAGCTGGTGGTAAATCCTGTCGCCCTTCCTGAAAGCGGACGGAGTCCAGGGTAAGCCTTCAGCCATCCAGGGGCTGAGAGGGCAGTGAGGGAGTCACTCGTCCCTCCGAAATTGACCTGGGCCCTTCAGCCAACCCAGTGGGAGGGTCTGAGCCTGCAGTCAGGGATCCCACAGAGAGGAGGCAGGGCCGCCATCCCACAGGCCACTGGGTACTCACTCCTCTTTCCACTTCCAGACCTCCCGAAGAAAGGCCTCACGGCCCAGCTGGTGCCGATTCAGACCCTGCTCTCTCCAGAGTTTCTTTTCCACCACCACCTGGGTGGCAATGCCCGCATGGTCACAGCCTGGGTTCCACAGGGTGGTCTCCCCACGCATACGGTGCCTGTGGGGGCATGAGGGTCAGATGGTGAGCCAGGCTAGAAGAGCATCACTCCAAAGGTCTCAGATGTCAGCCAGAGTCCATGGATGCTGACGAAAGGGGATGAACAGAAACCCTCTCATTCTAAAGCCAGGCAGGGAGAGGACTCAGGACTGGCAGAACAATCTGGAAAAAGAACAAAGAGGAGGCTCTCGCCCAGCCAGACAGCCAAGATGAAACAGTCCCATCTATCAAGTGAGTTTCCACAGGGGAACAAAGCCACAGACAGACAGAAGTAAACCTCGTCTCCGCAGACCCAGGCAGACTGCTCAAGAGTCTTGCTTCTACCCCATGTTCCTAAGAGTTCTCACACATTAGAGTGCCGGAGAGGAGACAGACCAGGGAGGGCACACGCCTCTCCACTCTATGGACAGGTAAGATGCTCCTGCTCCTGCAACAAGCAGACCCTCACGGGGTTCACTGACTCGCGCACTCACACGCACGCACACAAAGAGGACACACAGAAGGTAGGGAAGAGCAAATGATAGAAATCGTCCTACACAGAAGCAAGTGTTACAGCAGGAGTGGCGGCCCTCACTGTAAAGTGAGGCCCTGTCTCAAACAAACCAAACGCCGACGTTGGTAGCATAGCATTGCCTGACAAAATCACAAAAGCCAAACGACAACAACAAACTATTAGAAAATGAGTCTGGAAGTGAAGAAGTCACAGCACTGCTACGCAACCCAGCGGCGTGCGACTCTGCAGGCAATGCCTTTGTAACCAGGCAGGGGCTGTGGTCAGGGCTGGCAGACACCACCAATCTCAGCACTGAGAGGCTCGAGAGGGCTGAAGAGTTCAAGGCTGGCTTGGGCCCCACAGCAAGTTCCGGGCCACCCAGGACTACACCCAGGAACACTTTGTCTCAATGTCCAACCCACAAAAAAAGCTAGAGACACAAAAAAGTATAGAAAAGCTAAATCAGTCAATACCTCTAAGCAAAGTTTAAAAAAAGGATTCAGGGCATGACTGGAAGGGAACTGACCACTTTATAAAACACTGTGGTTGTTTTGTGCGTGTACACGTTCATGTATACTGAGTCCCCATGCATACGTGGGCGGGTGTGTCTGCACGTGAAGGCCAGAGGATAAACTCGGGTGTCAGTCTGTCCTCCACCTCGAGGTCCGGTCTCTTGTTCACCACTATATCATGCCTAGCTGGCACAAGTACTTCCGGGGTTACATATGTAATGCGTTACGGCATCAGCTTTACTGATGTAGGTTCTGAGGATCCGATCAGCTGAGCTTCATCCACTGAGCTGTGCACAGCTCCCCACGCTCATGGACCATGATCAATGACATACAAAGAAAGGAATATATTCACGTCTGCTTCGCACACTACGTTCGGATGTTCTGTGGAAAGGGGCTGTAGCATCTCCATTCTCTTACAGATACCAAGCTGTCCTTGTATATGCCTCAGAAGACATCACTTTTTTTTTTAAACTTTGAGACAGGGTTTCTCTGTGTAGCCTTGGCTGTCCTGGAGTTCTGCCTCCTGAGTGCTGGGATTAAAGGCGTGCAAAGCCAATACCTTCCACCTGACATTAACATATTTTATAGACATTAAGATGCTTTCTTTGTGGGGGGCAGGCAGTGGGTGGCGACACACCCCTTTAATCTCAGCACTTGGGAAGCAGAGATAGGTGGATCTTTGTGAGTTCAAGGCCAGCCTGGTCTACAAATCCAGGACAGCCAGGGCTACACACACACACACACACACACACACACACACACACACACACACACACACA